GCCTGAGAAAACGGCTCTTAAACTAAATTTCCCACAGGCCAGAGGGAACCAGGAGAACCTGCCCCTCCGCGCCACCTGGACCTGTTTAGAATCTACATGCACAGTGGCGTCCCCAGCACTAGACCTGCCCGCGGTACCCAGGGGTCACCCAGGGCGTGACTGCAAAGCCCAGAACCAGGACCCCCCATGCCTGGTGGGCCGGGATGGGGGCGCAGCTCACCAAAGCCGCACTGCAACCCCCAGACCACGGACCCGCGGCCGGGCGGTGCTGTCTGGCCCAGCTCCAGCAGGGACCACCAGGCTAGCGCAGAGCCACGCCTCGTGGCTGGTTCTGTGAAACCTGTTGGGGGCCCTGGTACCTCTATTTCAAGAGACACATGTCGGGGCCCTCGTTAGACTGAGACTCCCATCAATCCAGAATAGACAGGAGAAGGACAAAAACCACAGGAAGTCGCAGCAATTAAAACCACGCGGCGAGAGGGTGCGGCAGTTCCGGTGTGTCAGCCCTCAAGGCCGGGGAGCTCTGTGGGACACACGGACCAGCCCAGACAGAGCGCACAGACGTAAACAGAACCAGGGCAGCGACGGGAACTGGCCCTGCGTGGTCAAAAATTAGCTACGGCCACGTTGAAAGACTACGCAAACGTCGGGCAAGTGGTCATGAAAGGCAAGTCGGCACCAGCACGAGCCTCAGCCGGAACAGGATTCAAGCTGAAGCCACCAGCAGGGCAGGGGACAGGCGTTTTGACAACCCACTGAGATCCGGCCACCGAGTTCCACGGATGCGCCTGACACACAGCAAAGATGGGAGAAAGTCCTCATTCGTGACGACAGACCCCAAGCCACCCCTCTCAGCCCACTTTCCCGCTAAGACGGACAATAACAGCCTCAGTGAGACACACAGGAAGAACTTCCCGAACTCACCAGTGTTTCCAGACAGTCGCCCGCGGTCACCGTGTTATACGGTAGCAACCACAAAGTGAAACATCGGGGGTGGGCGCCGACCCCAACCCCAATATCAGAAAGAAAACTATCGTGAGAAGGAACATTTCGACAACCGTCTAAGACTGCAGGACTTGACAGAAAGCTACGCCGACCCTGACCTGGGCCAACGGCGGGCCACCCGGGCCCTGCGCGGGGACGGACTAGACTCGACGCTGCGGGTGAAGTCTCGGTGGGCATTTCTGACGACCCGGAGGAGACAGCGCCCAGGACGCCCAGGGACTTTGCAGAAGGAGGCAGGGGCTCCCTGAGCGCAGGCCTGGCCCCGGCCGAAGTCAGGCCCACACCAG